TCATTATATAATTCAAGAGGCAGAGGCTTAAGCCCAACCCTATTCGGAATGGGTATTTTCATCCAAAACAAATCGTTACTCTGCACAAGCCAATGCTTTGCATTACTCACCTTTAGGAGCTTTTGCCCGCATTCTCTTTCCACCGTCATTTCAAATCTGTAAGGCCACGCGCGCCAAGCAAGAGGATTTGCTTTTTCAGTGTCCGTTATTGAGATCACGTACTTTTCCGGCGAGAAACAGCTGTTACTTGCTGTGATGTTTTTGATTGAAACCGTGGCGGTTCTGTCACCAACGTTGTATGACACACTCTTTTCCTCGTACGATTCTCCACTTGCCTCCTCACGGCGCCGTACGTTCGTGGAACAAAAATTTCCCGATTGAAATTGAGAATTGCTAGAATGAGTGTTTCCCATGTGGTAACACCTAATGCTTTCTCTTATTCTGCGTATGAAGCTGGCTGCGGTGTATGTTTGTTAATTTATGATAAGATGTTATCAATTCTGTGCTTCTGATCTCCAAATTTATATGCTTTTTCAGCACCCAAGAGGATTCATAAACTATAACCATTTTTTAACGCGTGTTTGAATTTAAATATAGTTGTATTACATTATTTTTAATAAAAATATTAAATATAAATACATACTTATTTTTAATAATTTTTCATTCAATACGAGATTAATTAATTACACTGTTTATTTAAAAAAATTTATTATGTAAATAAATTTTACGAAAGACCAAAATTAATAACTACTTCATCACATTAAATTATTTTAATAAATATTATATTTTAAAAATATACAAAAATATAGAATTTTAAATAATATATCTCTAAATGTTTAAATTGTTTAAAATTGAATATATATAATATTAAAATAATATAAAATAGTTTAACTAGATTGATCAATCGTTTATTTTATGAAATGTTATTAAAAAAATATAAATATCTAAATTACACATATTTTATACACGTTAAAATTATAATTTTTAAAAGTGCTGCATCCACCGTCATTTTAGTTACATCAATTAAAATTGAAAGGACTTATTTATTCTATTATGACTAAAATAGATATTCTATGTCTATTATTATTGTCTAATTTTCTTCAATTAAAATTTAAAGTAAAGTTATTTATTGAGTTTTTATAATAGAAAGTTATTGAATAACATTTATTCAAATCATGTGAAATTTTATACAAGATCGTTTTACATCAGTATAAGTTTAAAAAAATTTAGACTTGATCTATATTTTTTATTTAATTTATATCTAATATGTTATAATTTATTACTTCACTGACCGTTAGATATAAATTAAATGAAGTTTTTAAACTTATACTAATATGAGAAGATCACGTATATGTATATATATTAAAATAATAAAAATGACTTAACCAAAGTAATCAATTTTTTATTTTATGAAAAACTATTAAAAAATATGTGTCTAATTTTCATGAATATAATAATAATAATAATAATAATAATAATAATAATAATAATAATAATAATGATCGTTTTTAAAAATGCTGCATCCAACGTATTTTAATTATGTCAATTAGAATTGAAAGGACCTATTTATTCCGTTGTTTCTCCCACACATTTGGCATATATGCTTGCTGGCCTTTTATTTATTCTCCAAATTAGTTCTTTTTTTATCTCATGGTTGTTATTCTTCTTTGTGTCAGTTTTCAGTTCTAAGTGTTGAAATTCTACAACAATAGTTGTTGCCGATGTGCTGTGATCCATGAATGATGAAAATAACACGAAGTAAGAATCTTCTTATTATAAGAAATATTTATAAAATTATTGTTATAAAGAATAAAAAAAGGTAATAATGAAAACAATCCTCTCATGTAAGTGTAAAAAATTAACTGACATGTTTCTGTTACCCCGTTATTGGTCAAAGCATTTACAAAGATTTTTTAAAGAATGCGAGTAACATATTATTTTACTATTTTTTAACAAATTTTTTGTTAATTAAAATTTATTAGAATTATAAAAAGTACGTCAATTTTATTATTTTTAATTTTTAAATTAATATTTTTTTACATTATTATATTTTTAAATAAATTTTAGTCTATAATAATAATAAAAAAACATGTTAGAGAGTGTTATTTGCTGTTTTCAAATTATTTTACTCCTTAAAGTATAAAGTAATACAGTCATATAAATTTTTAGAGCAATAAAACTATTAAAAACTATTTAAAAGTGATTATGAATAATTTACAAAAATAATTTAAAATTTAAATATGTTTATTAATTTATTTCAATAATTTTTTATATATCTTATTAAAATTTATGAAGAACTTTTCATGATCAATTAGTATCACAGTATTTACCTAACTAATTTTAATTATAAAATTAGTTGAGTGATTGATATTTCTATTTCTATAAATCTTAAATGTCCATTTAACAAATTTAAGAAAGGAGTTTATTTATAGATCTCAAATAAAATGAGTTAATTTATGTTAACCTTTTTTTTTTTTTTTGTATAAACAGTAGTTCATTACCTTTTTTAAAAGGAGAATTTTTTTTTCCTATCTTGGATTTATTTAAAAATAAAGACTTAAATACAATTAATAATGCTCCTCCTTCATTGGCAACGCAAACCCATTAATAATGCTGCCAAGAATCTCTAGAATCTCCCCAATACCACTATGTCTCTCCATCTCATATATTAACTAATAAAAGATATTGTTAATGGCTTTCCTAACAAAGGGTTGGGACTAATGAACCATCAATATTCCATACAAACAATGCAATGTGGTTATCAACTACTCATGCTCTCAGGGTTGTAACATTTAAAAATTTTATTATTTCTAATTAGATATAACTCATATTAGCCTAATTAAATTAGAATTAGACATTATATGCAAAATTAAAAAAAAATACACAACAAAATTGATAAAAAAAATGATACTAATTTTAGGAAAAATTGGACAATGCAAGTAAGGTATTACTCAATTTTTAGTAGATATTGATTATCTAAACCATTTGAAGTGATTCTAAAACTACTTAAATTAAGGATTACAAGAATTAAAATCAATTAAGAAGAAGCGAGAATTAAACTTCTTAGTTAACTCCAAGTATGCCTCTATATCAACCCTATGCCACTTAATCTCAGTATCAACCTTCTACCAATGCTACTTTTGGAGGATCAATGCCTCATGGCACCTCTCATCATTCTCATAATTTTCTGACAATGCAAACTCACTAGCCAAGCCAAGAGTGGTTTCCTAATTGCAGTGCAACATATCATGTTACCCCACATTCAAATAATCTTCAACAAAGTGTACCATTCCAAGGTTTTGATCAAGTGGTTTCTGGGGATGATCAAAGTTTGCTTACTTCCTCAATTAGTTACACAATTTCAATCTCCATTTTAACCACACACAACACTTTTCTTTCACAATCTTCTACCTGTATTGTCTGTTGCTAAAAATCTTGTGAGCGTGAACTATTTTTCTCATCTGATGGTAGATTTTACATTTCTAAAGATGTTCTTTTTAATGAGTCAAGATTTTCCTATCCTTCCATGTTTCCAGCTCATGAGCCATCAACATCTTCCTTTGCGCCTATTCCATCATCTCCTTTAGTTGTCATTGATTATGATTATGATGTTGTAGTGCCTTTTTCCAATTTTGCTGATAATATTGTCTCTTCTGATAATTTTGCAAATAATGTTATGCCTCATACTCCTACTATTCCTTATATATCTAGTGTTGCTCTAGCTCCTGGTACTAATCTTCTAACTGACTTAGCCTCTTCTTCAATCTCTAAGTCAACATCCATTTATCCAATGTAGACTTGTTTTAAATCAAGAATCTACAATCCTTGCCTTCATCCTACTCTTCTCTTAAGACATATAGAACCAACCTCTCTTAGAGAAGCCTTATCTAATCCCCGTTGGCTTTCTTCCATGCAAGATTAATACTCATATCTTTTTGTTGGTGGAACAATGATGGCAATAGATGCAGAGCAAGCCACAAGAATATTTAATGCTCTTTTGTCCACTGATAGGCAAGCTTAGCATAATAGAAGGGCAATGCAGAGAAGAGGAGTTTTATTTTTAAGCACATCAAATGCTATTCTTGCTCAAAATAAAATCTTGACTTAATAGATCGAAGCCCTCACTAAGCAAATGACCAAGTTGCCACAACAACTTCATTCAGTCCACTCCATAACTACCTAAGTGCTCAAATGTGATTTCTATGGAAGAGATCATGTAAATGGCAACTGTACTTATCCAACTTAAATTTCAGAAAATGAAGAAGTGAATTACATGAGTAACCCACCTTGGGGAGGTAACTTTTCTCACTCTAACACTAATTCTTGTTCTAAAAATTTTTCACAGGGCTGGAGGCAGAACCAAAACCAAGGATATGGATGGAGACAAGAAGCTGGACCATCCAACAGATCACCACCTTTTCATCAACAATCTTCATACAACCAACAACAACAACAGCCACACTTCCCTCTGCTTCATAAGAGACAGTCCAAACTGGATGACAACTTAGAGAAATTCATGCAAATGTCGATGACCAACCAGAAGAACATTGAGGTATCCATCAAAAATTTGAAGACATAAGTGGGGCAGTTGGAAAAATAGCTTTCGGAGCAGAAAACCTCAGGACACTTCTCCAGCAACACACAAACCAACCCAAAGGAGCATTGTAAATCAATCACCACAAGAAGTGGTTAGGAGATTGGAAGATGGATTGATGATCATTTGGTAAATGAAGAGGAGGTGAAGGGGAAATAAGAGAAGGAGAGAAAAGAGAGTGAAAAAGAAAAGAGTGGAAAAGAAGAATTTGAAAAGAATAATGAGAGAAGTGTACATAGTGAGAAAAAGAGAGAGAAAGAATGAGAGTGATAAAAGAAAGGATAAGGGTGAGCTCCCACAATTGAAAGACCTACCATACCCTAAGATTCCTTTCAAGAAAGACAAGGAGAGACAATTTGCTAGATTCATAGATATTTTTAAAAGATTACAAATTAATATTTCCTTCATGGAGGCTATGGAGCAGATGCCAACCTATGCAAGATTCATAAAAGAGTTGCTCACAAAGAAAAGAAGATTCTCAGAGGAGACAGTGGAGTTAGAGGCAGGTTGCAGTGCAATAATTCAGAAATTTTTACCTCAGATAACAAATGATCAAGGAAGCTTCACCATTCCAGTATCTATAGGTGCATTACCTATGGGAAAGGCCTTGTTGGACCTGGGAGCAAGTATCAACCTGATGTCGTTATCTATGTTGAAAAGAATTGGGGAGCTTGAGATTAAACCTACAAGAATGACTTTGCAAGTAGTAGATAGATCTATGAAATATCTTTATGGCGTAGCAAAGGATGACTTGGTAAAGGTAGATAAATTTGTATTCCCAATTGATTTTTTCATCATGGATATGGAAGAAGATATGGAAGTCCCTTTAATTTTAGGAAGACCTTTCATGAAAACTGCTAAGGTGATAATTAATGTAGATGATAGGAAGCTCAAGGTGAGATTTCATGATGAAGAAGTCAATTTTAATGTCTTTGAAGCTATGCACCATCCTAAAGATAAACAACAATGCTTTAGAATGGATGTAATTGATGAATTATGCATGGTGGAAAGGACATAATTGCACAAGTCCAGTTCATTGGAAAAGGCTTTAATTGAAGCTTATCAGGATTTAAATGAAGAAAGGGAAAAGGAGATTGAAGATTATTTAAAGAATCTAGAATCCTCTAAAGAGCTATCTTCACATGAAGCTCACCATAAAAATTTTCCTCAGAAAGAGAAGATAGAGGAGCAGAAATTAGAGTGGAAAATGTTACCATCATATCTTAAATATGTGTTTCTTGAAGATGAAGGGAAGAAGTCAGTAGTGATTAGCTGTGCATTACCAAAAAAGTTGATTTCAGTATTAAAGGCAAATGAAGGAGCCATAGGATAGAATTTATTAGATCTTGAAGTTATTAGTCCTTCTTATCGTGCATAAGATTCATATGGAAGCAGATTTCAAACCAGTGACTCAACCTCAGAGACGTCTCAATCCTACCATGAAAGAGGTGGTGAAGAACGAAGTAATGAAACTGTTGGATGCAGGAATGATTTATCCTATTTCAGACAGTGCCCAGGTTAGTCCCAAAGAAAGGAGGGATGACTGTGATTAGAAACGATAAGGATAAATTGATTCCAACAAGAACAGTTACTAGCTAGAGAATGTGCATCAACTACAGAAAACTTAATTAGGCTACTAGGAAAGATCACTTCCCTTTGCCATTTATGGATCAAATGATAGAGAGATTAGCTAGACAAGCATTTTATTGTTTTCTGGATGGATACTCCGGTTACAATCAGATCATTGTAGATCCAAAAGATCAGGAGAAAACTGCTTTCACATGTCCTTTTGGTATTTTTGCATATAGAAAAATGTCATTTGGATTGTGTAATGCATCGACTATTTTCTCAAACTTGATGGAGAAATGCATAGAAGTTTTCATGGATGACTTCTCAGTTTTTGGATCATTATTTGAAGATTTTCTAGTAAACTTGGACACCGTACTGAAATGGTGTGTTGAAACAAATTTGGTGCTCAATTGGAGAAAATGTCATTTTATGATGACTAAAGGTGTGATACTAGGCCACAAGATCTCCTCTAAGAGCATTGAAGTTGATAAAGCAAGAGTGGAGGTGATCGAGAAGGTACCACCACCAACAAATGTAAAGGGAATCAAAAGCTTCCTTAGGCATGCTGGGTTCTATAGGCAATTTATCAAAGATTTCTCAAAGATTACAAAGCCACTCAGCAATTTACTCAATAAGAATACTCCTTTTAGATTTTGAATTACTTAAACAAAATTGGTTTCAGCTCCTGTCATAGTCGCCCCTGACTAGAATTTAGATTTTGAATTAATGTGTAATGCCAATGATTATGTTGTAGGGGCTGTACTAGGAAAGAGAAAATCTAAAGTTTTCCATGCCATTCATTATGCTAGTAAAGTTTTAAATAAAGCACAAGTGGATTATGCTACCACTGAAAAAGAATTACTAGCAATAATGTATGTATTGGAAAAATTTAGATCTTATTTGATTGGTTTCAAAGTTTGTAATTTATATTGATCATGCTACAATTAAATATTTGTTAACTAAATCTAATTCAAAACCAAGATTAATTCGGTGGATTTTGTTATTGCAGGAATTTGATTTAGCCACATTACAACTTTTTTGAAAGACCCTATGATCCATGTCTTTTGTGGTACTTAGTTTGATAAGAAGCGAAGAGTAAAGCTAAACCTAAGGAATTCATTGAAGAAAGTGAGAGAAACACTAAATTTGTGAGAATGAGTGGCTTTTTCTCTTGATTATTGAATGTTGTTACTCTTATTTTCTTGAAAATGAAGTGCACTAGTATCCTGATTCTTTTAATCTGATAACCAAAATCCTTGATCATGAACAATGCCCTTTGGCTGGAAAGTTTTGAAAAACCCTAGATGATGAACATGAAAGCAATTGTGATTGATTTTTATCCCAAACCAATTTCAAAGGTTCCTTGTGAAAATTTTTTGTGCATTCAATTACTTTGCTTGAGGACAAGCAAGATTCTAGGTTGGGGGGAGTTGATAAATATATAAAATGAGTAATTTGAGATGATGACTTGAACACTTTTTCATGTAAAAGTTTTGATTATTTTGTAAATTTCCCCCTAAATTTGGAACTTTTACAATTACTTGTATATTTCAAGAAAAGAATGCAATTGTAGTGTTTTGATTCCTTTTTTATCTATTTTGTAGTTGGAATAAAAAAAGAAACATCATTCAAGTTGAAGAAAATTGGAAAAGTCAGAACAAGAGCATATAAAGCATGAAGTTGCAAAAGAAGTGAGCTTCTAGAGGTTTCTTGCTATAGCGAGATACCCTTGTTGCAGCGAGAATGCTTATTGTGAAGAGGATGATTTTGTGTTCCTATCACTATAGCAAGAATGTGTCATTGTAGCGAGAACTATCGCTACAGCGAGAGACAAACAGAATGACCTAATTTTTATCTCCTTGTTTCGCTACAACGAGGAGTTGTTGCTGTACCGAGAGAAGTTCAAGCAGACCAGTATAAAAGGTGAATTTTATGTTTTTAAAGGGAACTATTCTATTTTTAACATTTCAAAGAGAGAGAATGGCGTAGGGCTGAAGAAAAGAGTAGGAATAGTCAAGTTTTGATGTTCTACCCCATTTGTATCTCATTTCTTGTTACTATGGTTGCAATGAGCAGCTAGATTTTGTATGGGATTGAGTGTAAATCTTCAAACTTGATGTATTCTCAGCAATTTATATAAATATAGTTGTTTCTTCTTCATTTCTGTTGATTTGGTGATTTCAATCTATGTTAATGTTTGAATCTGTCTATTTGATAGCTTCTTGAGCTCAGATCTTAGTTATATTTGAAAATGTATTACTTAGATCCAGATCTGGTTGAGATTACTCAATAACTGGTTACTCTAGGAATAGATTTCAAGTTATTGATTGTTTTTAAATCCTGAGTTTAATGCTAGATAGTTTGTTAACTGTTTGAGGAATCAACATTTAAGAAATTATCTTAGAAATATATTTTCAAGGAATTGAATTATATGATTTTTGTGTTTTGCATCAAATTCATTAGAAATGGTTGCTATATTTATCACTAAATTACTAGAATACAGAGAAGGAGATAGATGAAATTCAATCCCAGTTTCTTTAATTTAAATTTTACTATATTTTACCTTATCATTTTACATTATAATTATTACTTAAAATTTCATGAAAATCGTCAATCAATTCTCTTATATATAAGCTCAATTAATGTTTATCTTAACAATTAATACATTTTGAATTGCTCCTTGAGGACGATATCCCAATACTCTACCGGTTATTACTTGCAACAGACCCAGTACACTTGCCGTGTTTGAAGGAAAAGTCCCAACATGCACTGTGATCACAGACAACGATGCCTCTAGCATTTCTTGAGGTCTAACTCAACTAAGTAAATAGTCGTCAGTTAGCCCATGTACACAGATACAACGTATACAATAATGAGTCCCTTAGCAAAGGAATAGAAAAGAGTCTAGTCAGGAAATAAGTGTGAAGCCATGTGAAGCATTTACTCTCAGAAAGAGTATGTACACATACATGAATGTTGCTCAGCACCTTACGTTTCTCCCAGATTTCTTATCATCTCCGGACTCTATACCTCAGTATATTTCTGTAACTATTCACAATAGATCCATTCCATATCTCACACTTATACTTATATCGAGAATTCCTTCATTCTCCACTCATAAGATCGTGTATAATAAAACACTTCCAAACTAAGTTCACATCACTCATCCCTTTAGAGTTTAGTTTCACTCATTAAATCATTCAGACCAACATTATACTTTATAACAACCACAAAATACTTATATACATACCTCAACATATAATCTATGCATTTCAACTTACAAATACAACATCAAGCTTTATCGTACATCTCACATAAGCATATCTCATATAATTACACCATTATCATTCATAATATTTTCATAACACTCCACATTAGCACTCATAATATATTTCATGTAAACATATCATAGCCATTCAAGCCAAACCACTAAACATGTATATTCTCAGCTATCATTCATAAATATTATACTCTAAATACATATTTTTGCAAAATCCCTATGTTAGTGCCCTAATGAGCACAAAATAAACATTTTAATAGAACGAAAATATAGAGCTCTCCTTACCTCGAGGTGAGTATGTGAAGAGATATTGATGAAGATTAGAGTTCAAACACAAAAGTTCTCCTAAGTACCAAGAGATATCATTGAGAAATAAAAAAAATATGAGAAAAGATCAGAGTAAACTAAGTTTAATTCAGAAAAACATACTTTGAGTCATTTAGATTTAACTTCCAAGCTCAAATTTGAGGAGTAATCGGAATTTGAGGGAGTTTTGTCTAAGAAAAGAAAGTGAGAGTTCAGAGAAAATGAGAAGAAAACGTGAGGTTTGGAATGAAATGAAATTTCTATGCTGGAAATCTCTTAAATACCCCTCAGCCCCACGCGCTCTCACTTGAGCAAAAAATAGCTCACTTGAGGGACGCTATTCTCGCCTGAGCGAGGTACAGCTCGCCTGAGTGAGCACACCATACAGTGGCCTCGCCAAGAATTTCCTGATATGCTTGCTTGAGTGAGGTCAAGCTCGCCTAAGTGAGAATCATCTTTTCTGAGTGAGATTGCCCTAAAATCATGTGGTTCTAGGCGCTTAGTCTCGCTTGAGCAAGATCTATCTCATGAGCGAGATCCCCTGCACCAAACTTCTACCAAAGTGCTCTTAAATCACTCGAACACATTCTAACACTATATAATTCTAAATAATTCATCAATTTATTAAATACTTGAAAAAGAGGGTGTTATATTCCACATCAAGGAAAATCCTAGTGGCTCTCTTAGTTGGTACAAAGCTCATCTAGTTGCAAAGACCATCAACAGTATAGTTTTGACAATACTGAAACATTTTCACTTGTTATCAAGCCTGTAATGTGACATCCTTTATTTTTCTTTCTATAAATATAACAATTTATAACAAATTAAGAAAAAATAGAGAGAATTTATTATAATTATAGTGT